TAAGCTAAAAAAAAAAAAAAAATGAATTGTAAAGAATATTGACCTTCTTAGAAAACTAGAGGGTGTCTCTTTGTCTCCTTCATCTCAAAAACGGGTGGCAGATTGCCTATATTTTAATTAATTTTTGTTCATTGAGCCATGAAGCTGAGAAGCCCTCTCACTAACCCTGTGTTCATTGCACAATGGACCATATATGAATCAGGCTTCGTGATCTTTCCAGAGGATTAATATTAATGTGAGCCAAGCACAGCAATCTGCTGGGGTTATTCAAGATGATGATTCAAGCGTGTCTATCGTGCACATTTTTTTCCCTTGCAGTTTTGACATTACCTCTGGATTTGTCAATTGTGAATATCTTTGTTGTTACAGATACAGACGTGGTGTATAAAAGCGACAATGGACACGTCATTAAACTGAACATAGAAACAAATGCCACCACATTGTTATTGGAAAATACAACTTTTGTAAGTAACCAACAGTTGTTCCTATTATGCATCCTAATGTTATTTAAAAATCTCTGGTACTTGTTTGTATTCTTCAGCTCCAGAGCCTATTGAGCCTTTCAGGTGGAAAGTCAGAGCTGGAATATCACAAGATAAAGAGAAAAATACTCCCATCACCACCTGTTCTAGTGTCTCCCCAAATGGAAATAGTTTCAGCGTTCTACATGCTGATGCTCACTTTCCCCAGGACATTTGTTGAAGGGGCTGTTTGTCTTAAGTCAATATTTATCTCTAATATGTTAATCAAGGGCTTGGTGGCTGTTCCTGCATTCTCTATTCCATTTATTGGTCTATGTGTCCATTTTGTGTCAGGTGTTTTGGTTGTAGCTCTGTAGTATAGTTTGAAAGCAGGTGTTGTGATACCTGTAGCATTTCTCTTTCTGCCTAAGATTACTTTGGTCATTTGTAATCTTTTGTGGTACCATATGTAATTATGATAAGCTTTTTTCTAGTTTTTTGAAGACTCTCATTTGAATTTTGATGGAAAATACACTGAATCCATAGATATTATTGAAATTATTCATTTGTGTATGTTGATTTTCTATTCTGTTACTTTGTTAAAAGTCTTTAACAGAGCTAAGTGTTTTCTGGTATGATCCCTAGAACCTTTTAAGTACAGGATCAAGTCATTGGTGAACAGGGATGAATTTCTTCTTCCTGTTCTATTTGTTTCCCTTTCACTCACTGGTGTTACTGATGAAGCTAAGACTTTGAACATCCTACTGAATGAGGCTAGAGAAAGTGGACAGCCTTGTCTTCATCCCGACTTCAGAAGAAATGTTTTCAGGGTTTCCCCAGTCAGTGTAATGTTGTGTATTATGTCTGACCGTTCTTATGTTAAGGTGTGTTCCTTCCATTCCTGATTTCGTCAGGCCTGTTATGAAGAAATGTTGAATTTGTCATAAGTCTTTCATGCATCTATTGAGATGATCATGCAGTTTCTGTCTCTCAGTCTATTTATAGGTTTTATTAGTTTTAGGAATCAACTTCAAATTCCCTAGAATGAAACTGACTTTGTTCTGGTACATTATTCTAGCTTCAGTGCTGTTGATGTGGTAAAATGCTCTGACAAAAGCAACTTAGGGGGTAAACCAAGGGGCATAAAGAGTTCTACAAGGAAGAAATTCAAATGGAAAATAAATATTTGAAAAGGTGTTCAATATTCAGAGAAATACAAAGTAATGCTACTTTGAAATCTGTTGCATATCAGTTATTAAAAAGACAATAAACAGGAGCTGGAGAGATGGCTCAGTGGTTAAGAACAGAGGACCTGGGTTCAGTTCTGAACACCTACATTAAGCTCACAATTGCTGATAATTCTAATTTCAAGGAATGTGGTACCTTCTTCTGGCCTCCATGGACATCTGCAGGCATGTGGTGAGCACAGAGACAAGTAGTCACACACAATATACGTAAATAAAAACTAAATTTTTTAAAGACTATAAACAGATCCTGGTGAAGAATTGGGAAAAGAAGATCCATTATTCACTGCTTCTGGGATTGTAAACTGGTGCAGCGAACATGGACATCAGGGAACTTTCCTCAGAAATCTGAACATAAACATAAACATAAACTATCCTACTACCATTTCTACCTCACTTGGGTGTGTACACAAAGGACTGTAAGTCAACACACTACAAAGGTACATGCATATCCATGTGTCTCAAGGTCCTATTCACAATAGTTAAGAAATGGAATCATGCTTAATGTCTATCAGATGAACTGACAAAGAATAAAAGGTACCTATACACAGCATAGTTTTACCTACTCTTAAAGAAAATTGAAAATTTGATTTTTTTAGGAAAGTGAATGAAGCTAGATTATTATTTCAAGTGAAATAAGCCAGTTTCAGAAACACAGATATCACATGTCCTTTCACACGCAGAATCTATATTTAAAATATATGTGCATGTATATATGTATATGTACACAAATATACACGTATAAGGCATGATAGTAAAAAGGTGAACATGCCTGGAGGAAAACATAGAGGGGAAAAGGAGGGAAAATAGGATGGGACTCATGGGACATGAAGGCAGAAACAGAAGGGCTATTTGGGATGGGAATGGGGACCAACAAGAGGGACAGGGAAGATGTGGAGGGCAATGTGGTTGGGGGATGAATAAGAATAAAGGGTAATGGCATATTTATTTGAGAATTTCCATACCTAAGCTCTTTTACTTTGTATGCTAACTTGACAAAACAGTTGGTTTTAAAAATATTTTTATTGAGTTTTTTGGAAATTCATATAATAGATGTTAATCAAATTTAAATCCTGTCCCTCCACAATGCTCCCCCACAGCCCCCCATGGGATTTCATGCATTCTGTCATATATGTTAAGTCCTACCAGGTCAAGCATTTGTACCAAGATGTCTCTCAGTGCAAGGTCATCCATTGGTGCCTGTTCAGACTAACTATATTAACTCACTTAAAGAATATTGACTCTCTCTCACCCCACAGTAATCACTTGCCAATAAGTGGGGGTTGGGACAGCCTGTGGAGGGTCTAACAAATTTGAAGAACAAAGTTTTAAAAGTTAGAGATAAAAAAAAAATGTTTGGTAGATATAGTCACATGTAATTGCCTAGAGATCCAAAATTAAACGATGTATATGACCAATTAGTTTTCAATAAAACTACCAAGACAATTCTATGGGGAAAAGTCTCTTCAATAATGGTGCTAGAAATCCTTATTATGGAAAAGAAAAATTGATTTTTATCTTCTTTATCTTCTATCATATAAAAGAATTACTTTGAAACATATTATAAATCTAAATATAAAGAATAAATCTTTCATTAGATAAAATCTTTGCAATGCTTTGTTGGCAAAATTTCTTTTCTTTTTTTGTTTTTTGTTTTTTCTTTTAGTTTATTGTAGTTTATTGGGCTTGCTAACAAAGCATAGGGTTGTGGTTTATTTACCGGAGTCAGCCCCCACCCCCACCCCCATTTATGGCTGAGATGGAAAGTCCACACACAAATATAGATTCTGTGACTTCCCAACAGCTGCACAAAATAGCGAGAGAAGTGCCTCATGATGCTCTTGGCTTATATATCCTTAGCCACTCCTCCACATGCAGGTAAGTTTGACTGATTGGGTGGGAGAAGTAACTCCCTTTTTGACTCCTTGATGAGCATGTGAAGGAGGTGTGACTATAGCTTGCTGTCATAGTAGTTGGATGACACTTCAGGTAACAGTCCACCCTTTCCTCCAACCCTTACATTCTTTCTGCCAACCTCTTCTGCAAAAGTCCCTGAGCTTTGGAGGGGATGGTAGGTGTGGGACGATCTTCCTCCCATTGTGGCAAGACACCAAACTTTCAGATCTCTGCATCACCTGTTTTCTAAGGGGTGTTGGCCCATTTCAGTGGTATTCCATCTACTATAAAAACACAAACAGCAAGATTTATTACACTTTTTATACATTAAATCCTGAAGCCAGCGACTGTTTCTCTATATTGAAATATACTTGATCAGGCTAATTCAAGAAATATGCGTCTTATTTGCTTTATTGTTAACTTGAGATAAGATTGACTATCCTTGATTATGTTATGAATATAGTATAGTAAATCAGAGGTACGACATATCCATGGCTGAACTTTTTTTCAATAAACAAATTCTGGTAAGATGGAAAAAAATAGAAATGTTTGGTAGTTTTGCTCAAGTTCCCGTTAATGGATTCCCTTTGCTTTTCATTTTCTTCTTTCCAATTTTTGGGTTTTCTGGATGAGATGGATGGAACTCTTTCTTAATTGTCTTTCTGAGAGTGCCTTTTTCAGTCTCATGAACTGCACAGTACTTAGTCAATAGCACTGCGATGACTAAATGTGTGCATATTTTTCTTCTAAAAGAAGAACATAGACATCGACATGCATAGACTCCTTAAAGTTTAAGAGACTAAGCTGTGGCTACCTGTTGGGGATGTTATAGTGAATTAGCCATTGAAAATTTTACAAAACCTAGTTACCTAACAATGCTAAAGAGAGTGTACCAATTTAAGCACTGTTGTACAGTCAAAACTTTAATCTTTTTCTTCTTAAATGAAAAATGTAGCCCAGTACATGGCATAAAAAGACCTAGTCCACAAAGTACAGAATAAAGGAAAGTGATCCCTGACTTCTAAAAGTGTTTCATGCTTATACATTTGTAACAGAAATTTAATATTCATATTTCTGTTATGATAACCAGATAGAAGTTAGGACTAGAAAATTTCTGTTGATTGGTGCTTGTGTATATGTAGAAAAAAAAATGGTCATTCAAATCATGGAATGATTACATTTAAATAAATCTTTTAGGTTACATTTAACCAATAAGCTTGTGTATGTTAATAACTCAATCACTAGGGCTATCAAGATGGCTCAGTGGGTAAAAACACCTGCCTCCGAGTGGGGTGACCTGAGTTCAAGCCCCAGAACCCTCATAATGGTATGAGGGGACCAACTTCTGCAAGTTGTTCACTGACCTCCACGATGCACTATGTTGCACAAGTCCACAAATATAAACATGCACACAAAAGAAATAAGCAAAAGTATAGTTAAAATTGAGTCTTAAATAAGAGGAAGTGGTGACTTTTTGTTTTTATACTAATCAATCAATTTATATTTATCGTAGGAACAATTACTGTGTATGCTACACTTTTTAGTACCTATGGGAGAGGAAATGTAAAAAGACAGACAGCCTGCTTGCTGAGGAAAAGTGCTGCCTTTGACAAGATTATGTCAGTCTCCATGAGAAATTGTAAAAAGCAGCATAGAATAGCCTCCATTAATTCTTCCCTGGGTGAAGGACCGCAGTGGCATTCAGGGACAATAGAGAAGGTGGAAGAATCATCTAGAGATCTCAGCATCAGTGGAAAGGAAGACTTCTTGCCAAGACAGGAAAACAGCAAAAAGAAAGTAGGAGCTAATCATCATAGGTCTGATCATGATATTATGGCTGAATTCAGTATTAATTAATATTCC